TCTTATTCATTGTAGTTGCTCTTGAACACTGCAACGTCTGTACCGTAAATGTTATATTCACTAGGTAGACCGGACATCAAACTAAAAAAACATTAGGTTTTTTAGCCATTACAGTTAGGATCGTCAAACAGGTAGCCTTCATTCAGCTGGAGATATCTACCAGTCAGTAATAGCTCTTAACGATAATGTTACCAGTAAATAAGCAAGCGTGCTAGAGCATGGTTTAAACGAAACTTTCTACATACAGTACAGCGTATATCTTATCTAAAGCACTACTTACTCGTACAAAGTCTTCGTGAAATGATTTCCTCCGAAAAATCGCCTGAGACCTGCAGAAGGAGCTGCAAAGACATGCTCAAACAACGCTGTGATCTAAGATGAAATTTTGCGTTGCGTGCGTGCGCCACTATCTTGATACCCTTGTTATGAGCGACGATTGTTATCACTGAAAATTCATCGTCTTAGCAGTGCCTTAAACAAGACACCTTGTAACACGCATGTTCGAAAGGAGACGCAAGACGCCATTTTTACGCGCACCATTTAGCAGAACCGGCTTTCCGTGTACACGCCGCCATTCAAGAACGCCTATTTAGTTGTATGTGCTATTTGGATTACTGAACGACTGCTACCGATTCATAATGCAGGAAGAGGCAAATGATATGCTCCCGTAAGCTACAAGGAGTCACCTATAGCGTATGTGGTAAAATGAGTAAGTGTCTCCGTATGCATTTGGCACTGCCAATATGAATAGTATCCCTAAAAACTAAGATATCCACATCTTAAGCTCATTTTTAAACATATATTACATACACCGTTGGGACGTCTAACCTTTGTTTCTAGCTATAGCGTTCGCCTACAGGCGAAAAGTGTTTCCGGAGTACGTGTCGCTTTTTTGAAAACCCCCGATTAGGATGCATTTATATACTCCATACGTCTTACGGTCCAAGTTATCAATCCAAGGTCAAGAAATTAGTAACATCCGAAAATTTTATACTTCTTCAATATAGACTTCATTATAATTTAATGTGCTGTTGGCATCATTATAATTGAGCGTAAGGTCGTCTAATTAAAGTATAACATTGCGCATAAATAACTATACGTTTCCTTAACGTCTCAGATATCCTTAAAAAAGTCGCGTTTTTCGAACAAATGGAGCTCGCGATGCCTAAATTTGCCGCCCGCTTACGTTGTTAAAAGAACACTTGCTTAAATAATCAGTTATCAACACAACTTATCCTATAACAGGTTCTGTATAACTAGAGCTCATTAGAAATTTAAAGCAGTGTGTTAAATGCTTTAGAAAAAATTAAAATATTTAGAGCAGGGCAAGGCATCTAAATTGGCTCAAGCTTTAACGGCCTATTTGTTGTAACAAGCATGCTTTCATCCGCTGATCTTGGCGGTCGAAAAAAGAATCAAGTACTCAGTGGTACGAAAAAAGAACGTCAAACCTCTTACGGCGTCAGACAATGAGTCGCTGTATGCAGTTTGAGCTTTGCGCTAGCTTACGTTGTTAGCCTTAGCAACCCGAATCGAATCAACAAATTAGCATTAAATAGTATGTTATTAGTTTCAAGACTGTTTCTACTACTGATAGGTTCCTGCGACCACCATACGGAAATTAGGCCCTGATACACCATGCAAGTGGCTCGGAGCCGAATTTAAGAGGTTCAGGGAAACTTACCTACCAATAGTTGTTCCAAGTTATCAAGGCTGTTCGTCGTATTATTAACATTACCGGAGAAATATGCCAGAATAAACGGATTGTCTTTAAGACGGTAACACGAAGCGCAGACAGATATGGGTTTACGCCATGTAGTGCCTGTCACATGCAAGTGAGTACTAATATAACGAGAGCGTTCTCTTCAGCCTGGTCACACTAAAACAGGCTGCACCGTATCATTTCGCTACTGATGTATATGGCTTCTGGTCCTGCCGAAGAAAGCTGATTATCATTGAAAGTTTTAATATCCGCAGCTATGCTCTTGCAAACACAACGACACCACCGAGCTCCCACACAGCTCTAAAGACAAGAGTCTGAGCATAATGTTTGGCTGATCGAAACATCCGTCGAAAAACATCTGAAAGGCATATTTGAACCTAGGACGTTGAGCGGAGTAAGGACAACATGACAGGGGGCGGATGGGGCGAATACAGGCGTCTCAAAACAAATACAAAAAGATAATGGGGCTGTTAAGACCAGTAACGGCAATGCCGATGATGCAAGGGAGCGCGAGAAAGCGGTGACTCGCAAAAAAATAGCAGCGATGAAGGTGTAAACAGACCATGGACGGAGCCAATAATAAAAGGTACCCCAGAGAATCATTCATATGCTAAAAAGAGCCAATGATGAGAGTATTTATTGGTATTATTAGCAACACTGGACATTTTCCTAGGTTCAGTTGCCCTTCGCCCGCAATCGAAAATCTATCTTTATTAAGTAGCAAATCGCTACTGTTACATGTGAGTGCACTTGAAATTCGCGCGCTTGATCAGCTCATCAAACTAGACCTACAAACAAACAGGCAGGCTCCGAAAACAGCAGTCCCTAAAAGGAAATACAGTTATCTGCTTTTAATATGTATGCAGTTAGCTCAAGCCCTTCGTGGGTATGTGCTTTATATGCAGGGCGACTAAAGTGACGTGTTACTTAGACAACTGGTTAGATTTGCTTGCACCCATTACGATAGCTCATATTAATAGCAAAGAGCAAGTCTGAACAACTAGCATAATTACTGAGTAGGCTGATGTTGCGCACATTGCGGAGGCTCTTCAATGGAATTCCAATATTGCCATCTCTATAGTGATGAAAAACTTACAACACTTTGCTCTACGGGCGATGTTATATCCTTATGTATGCTCGAATTTTTCGAAGTTCTATCAGTTGAGTATGCTTTCGTCGCCTGCTTAGTGTGTGCAGATACTCCTTAGGGCTACGATTCACTGAGTGTAATTTACTCTAATAACCGCTAGCGCCGTTATTTAACCGTCGGGATCTTGACAATATAATACGCTTAATGACTTTATGACGTAACGACGATTGCCTTTTGTACCACTATCAAATTTTACTGGCCGCAGATAGTAAAAGTAGTAGCAACAATGTCCACGAAGAAAAAGAGATTTAAAAATCTTCAGACTACTTATCATATGTCTTCTCCGAAGGTCTACTACCTCTGATTGATCTAAAACGAAAAAAGAGTGTGAGGCGTTACATATTTTTGCTTCTGGTGCGTTGGTAGCAGAAACCATCTTGGCAATCATAGGATCTCATGCTTTTTTGCCAACCATTACTCTTTTCTTGTAGTTAGTAACTTTCCGACAAGCACTCCTAAAACCAATCCGAGGAATGCGCGAAGAACCTATAGCATAAATAATTTTTATCGATACAAAGGAACTCAACTTCATTGATAGAAAATAACCTAAACTTGAAATAGAACGTTCATTTTGTTATCACGTGGGCATCGGATAACCGAGGGTGCAGGACTAGGCTCGTTCTATTTCTGTACTTAGAAACTGCACGACAGAGATCCTGCCGCCGTTTTCAATAAAAAATACACTTGGTAACAAATATTTTTTGACCAGTTGTTGTTACGTCTCAGTTGGCGTATCTTGGACGAGGATACGCAGCTAGGTATTAGCAGACTCTGATAGCTGATAGGTCAGTGGCATTGGGCATACGGACATGAACGGCAACACGCAAGTAGTCCGGTGGATCTTATTTGTTGCATTTCATTGTATTGGAGCTGTATTTTATATTGTGGACCCACACAAATTCTATAGTTGAAGAGCGAATTGTGACATCATCTTTCGAGATGGAGTGTCTACTGAGTCTCCTCTACGCTTCCTTGAAGTTAGAGCGGGACTCTTCTCTGTGACAAACAAAAACACACGTATCACAATTACTTTATTCACAAAATCGAAACAAGAAACGAAGAGTCAAATTTAATTGCAATCTGTTAATCTGAAAATGTTAACTAAAATAAGAGAGAGAATTTTTACAATTCTTACACAGATGTTACCATCCAAAAAGATGATTATATTTAAGAGACAAATATATGGATAATCAGAATATGATGTTTTTTGAAAGAGTAAAACTGAAATTGGCAGACCAGAGCATTTTTGATTGAACTTTGCCTTTGATTGAGGATTTCTGCGAAGGTTGCAGCACTAAAGTAGATAGGAGACTGAAAAATGAAAATTAGATTGAGGCTGTCATGGGCGTAATAGACGACACTGAAGCAACGTCGATTCATAATGACGAACTATGTATTAGCTTAAAAACACCACATTTTCGAAGAAACTAGCATAGGTATATCAATGAAGTCATGACAGGCTGCAACGATAGATACAATATCCACGATCCCATATAACCTACCGACCTAACAATGTTGATAAGTTAAATTTCGAAGATCCCTATCAGCTTGGCTAATCATGTCACCTACTACGCCTTTCTGCAGCATATGTTACTTATATTTTGTTCTATTGTTTCATACAAATATAAATCCTACGGTCGTGAGTACCAACGAACGCGTTCATCTTTCACTGATTTATGCACGTTGATGTCTATATTTTTGCTGATAACAATGAATTAAACCGGTCGCAAGATCATTTGGCCCGTATCTGTTAGATTTTTTTGCTTTTTTGCATGTTTGTGTGATACAGTTTAATATGGAACCTCAATAGACAACGCAACGGGGAGCGATGACACATTTTATAGTAAGAATGACAAAACATTTTAGTAATCAAGTTTATTGACGCTTCGTATAACTCCATGCATATAAAAGTTCTGGTAATGGTCTGTCGTATCTTCCATATCGTAATTTTTCTCGATGTTTAATCAACGCCCAAGTAATCTTAAGTTGAAAATTTGACACGAAAACAGCGATCTACCGGTTAATATTAGCCTTGACTTTGTATTATTATACTGTAATAATGCATTTGGGCCACAAATGTTTCACAACTTCTATAAATTTCGTTAGCTAGACAGCCTGTTCTTGCTACCATCTACATGAACGTTATATATATATATATACTACTCATGTGTCGCCTAGGTTTTGTGTTATCATCAATAGTAACGTCGACTCTATTTAGGTTAGTATTATGCTTTGAGAGGTTTTCAATTGAGCTTGTTGTTGTTGTTGTTGTTGTTGTTGTTGATATCGTTTCCCCGTTGCATTTAACGATAACAATAAATCGCGTACCGATCAGAAATAGTAACAGTGGGAAGAAGACAAACGATTTGAAACGGTTAGAACGTTTAGCTATATATATGAAGATAGAGAGAGAAAGAAAACACACAGACTCGCCGGTCCCTACATCCTACTCACAAAAAAAGGACACTAGACATTTTTATATGTTAGGTTAGATCTAGCCTACTTTAGCGTGTACAATATCTATCTATAAATTATATATATATATATACTACAGCCGTTACCTGTAGTTAGTGGCATGATAAAATAAACAATAATCATGAATATCATTATTAGCTCTATACACGAACCTACAAGTAGATGCTGCGAAGCAGCATGGATTGTGGATTGACGCTTAACGGCGCAGGTAGACACAAAGGCCAAACAGAACATCAGCGAAGAACAGGAATTATATTAGGTATATAAATGGAAAAGGGGCGAAATAAATTATCAAAGTTTTCCGTCAAACACTGATATATTACTAGGGGGCGAAATGATTCTCCATCACCGACTGCCAGCTCCTTGCGAAGAGCGTCACTCGCAGTATACACATTACTAATTTACTCAACTGATTTACGAACTCGATTAGGAGATGTCTTTTCCAAAGCACATGGTAAGTTTTTCGTCTTTATTTGCGGGTTGACGGCAACGCGTTTAACGTATGAAGACCGCACTCCGTTCGATGTTGCCGTATCATACGTACCGCTATAATTTTATAATGTACTTGTTGCAGTACATTGATCTGTTGTTTGTTTTGCAGTATTTTAGTCGTTTGTTTATATCATTGTGCTGCTGCTTTTCGTTTCCTGAATGTTCTTTTTGGCGCTTTCGCGCCTCACGTATTTCTCTTCGTGGTGCCAAGGAGTATTAGTTTGTGGATACTTAAATATTTATATGTGTTCGTATAGTCTCGCATGCATACGGACAATAGTGATGGTGCATTGTCAGTTCATCATCCGTTTATCCTGTAAATGGTGAATGTGCGTTTACTTGGTAATTTCACCCTACTATTTTCCGTCTTTTATTATATCAATCACATACGCTGCTGATTTCAATGTTATGTACGATCACACGTGTTGTCTTTGTTGCTTATATAGAAGCGCCGCTTCGCGCTTCATTGTATTTATTTCTGTTGTTTCTAGGTTGGGTCCTACAGAATTTTCAGTTCCGGGACGTCGTAGAATGACGCGTGACGCCGAAATCGTGTTTAGACCTTCGTTAATTTTGGTGAAGGAAACAGGCGGGAAAGAGCCTTCCAACATAGAGCATATTCAATACTTTTCATCAATCACCTTTTCACATCCCCTGAGTTAACAGCTAATGAGATAACTTGTTCTTTTCTTTTTGTACAGCTCCAGAAGTCCGCAATAAGGAGCTCACTTTGGCCTATGCGGTTCTCTTTATCCCTCTAAACGAAGTGATAGTTGGAGGACTTTGATGAGAAGTCCGTTGTTTCGAGCGACGCATGCACGCCGCCAGCATGACGGTGGCCAAATATTCTCCGTCTTACGCTGGCCTGCCGACGCTATCAGTAGCGTCGTCTCCATTTTTTTCGGCACCAGTTGATATCCACAATAGTTCACATGACGTCGTTGTAACCGTCACCGTTTGACGGCCAGTTGATTGGGTGAGGTATCAAACCATCACTAGATTCACGAGGTTTCTATTGCCTCTTTGGTTTCTTTGGTCTTTTCTTCCTGGATTACCTTGATCCAGTACGCGTAGTTGTCCTGCAATGACACCAGCCGCAATGGAAGACAATGAAATGACAGAGATGGGATTATAAAAAGGGCATGGCGGTACGCGTATAATGCCATAAAAATTAACGTCTGTAATGAACAACGAGAAGACAATGAGAAGGATACTTGATTTGTTAAATATGTGATGCCAAGCGGATTTGAACATTTCACCTGGTCCTCTTCATTGCGTAGCCTTTTCGGTTACATCGTCAGTGGAAAAACGGAACGGAATGGTTGGTTTGATCAAATCTATGTAATAACAGTCATTGATGAGTCAAATGTATTTTCTTTTAAGCTCTTTAATAGGTTAGTGCTACTTTTTGAAACATTGAGGAAGAGCTGTAGGACAAGCAACGGCGGCATTAAAGGCAGCACGAAAGCTAGGAGGTAAGCGAACTTTTTTTGTCACCGCTGCAGCCTGTCCGTATTTTTCCACTTTTCGAACCTATCGCTCCGAGTCCTTCTAAGACGTTACATTCTAAACAACAATATAAGAAGAATAGACCTGGACACTGCGCAGGGCATCGAGAATGACAAGGGCTCTCACCGGCAAAGGTTTGTCAACTAGCGATCGCAATGACAAAGAACTTGTTTCTCGATTTTGACCGCAGGAGACGTTTTTTGACGGGCTATCTATGTATGTAGCAAATGGAGAGCAATGTTTAAAGGTAAAAAAAAGCAATGATGCAATAAAGAAGAGCGAAAAAGTTAAGATTGGAGGCCTAATACGTAAAAGCTTTATATTTACTGTCGAAACGTCTATACGTTATACCAAAACAGTGACTAACTGTGGATCATTACTGGCAATGATAGATGATTTTGCTTTGCCTGATCACCTTGTTACTCTGTAACTGGAGAGCAACGCGTACTGGCTATTTCCGTTATCAGGAGGGGCAAAAGTCGGGTCAAGTCGTTGGAGTTAAACTGGACTGGGCAGGACTCAGGAGTAAGGAAGAGAAACATACAGGCAGTGTCGGACAGAATAGCCAGTATATGCGAACAGTAAAAGGCGGCCGTCAGTATTAAAAATAGCTTGTATATTTCTTATACACGAAATGACCAGGGCCTCCTATGTCCCCAGCGCCCTTCTTCGCGCACATTGCCTGGGAGACCTACGTGCAAACTTGATGAGATGCAGCTTGGTTGGCATTTAAGCGCACAGCAGATATCTATGGAAAGGGCAACAGGAACAGCCCATGCTCTACGTAGCGCATACCAAGGCATAATAAATTTTGTCTCAATAAACTAAAACTAATCGATAATACCCCTGAGGATATATGAATGATTCAAATACCTGCCTATTTAAGACATAAACGAACCTGTAAATGCTTGATCTGTATACATTCTACGCGATTGTTAGCACTAGCTTTCACACCGTCTTTGAGGTCCATCGATGCGTTTGGATGATTTCCTGCAAAAGGAATTGCGAGAAAAGACCAGTGAAAAACTAAATTTAGCTTGAGTTTTCTGGTTCTTGTATTATCAAACCTAGATTATTGATTCTGATAAGATCATGGCCTTGGCAGGCTTTTCCTATTTTTCGAAGATTTCCTTACTTTTTTCACGGATAAGAGCCGTCACTGTGCAGCAATGCAATTGTCTAAAGGAAATTATTTTGCCTAAGTTCAATTTTCGACCAGTTTTCAGTTATTCAGAGCCATATGATGTATGCTCGCAGGAGTTTTTATCAAGCATTGTTTGTTGGTCGACTATGTATCCTGCCATAGTTAAATGTAGGAAGAAGCCGCACTGAATTTTTAAAAACGTAACATAGTTGCTTAATAGCATATTTGTTAATCAAAGCAAACAATGTTTTCTCTTCCTAATGGTAACTCCTTGTTCGCTACCTATAGATAGATATAATGTTTTTGAAATTGTGGTAGTATAATCTATCAATACGCCCCCAAGTTAAATTGTCCGAGTTCTTTGCTGTTAACTGTTGCTCTATTGTCATAATAATTAATGGCAATGGTGATAAAGCGGTCATATACTCGTCAATGCACTTTCCTCCGATATCATCCGTTTAGCCTACGCCTACTGTTATTTACACGAGTGCGATTATAATCTGTTTACATTCCGCTGTCTAGTGGACCCTTGTCAAACAGTTAGAACCTTCCTTCTATGTCAAATGCGTCCATGCTCATTGCCCCCTCACCCATATCATATGAACATATATACATAAGCCGTATTATACCATCTACTCTGTGGCACTGAATATTTTTATCTCTCTCTTCCTCTCACAGACTCCTCTTTTTTTTTGTTTTCATGAACGATGCCACGAACTTCCGACGAAAGCGCCCCCAACTTGCCTTACGGCATGCTTGCAGTTTTGTCAAGCACATGCTTGCGCGTCCGTTGAGGAGAAGAAAGCTGATTCATACCTCGATTTGGATCTTACTTGACGACGCTGCTTAAAATATGAGCGGACGTATTTGACAACCATTGCTCTTTACGTGACCTTTTCTCTTTGCGTAACTTTTTTAACTGCTTTTACTGTAGATCGATCTTGGTTTTTCCCTATGCTCCTTTGCCATTGTCAGGAACAACGACGACGCTACCAGGATGAGCGATGACGATAACACGAAAGCGAGTGGTATCGCATTTCTTCGGGATGAACGGAGAATTACATATAATTGTATAACGGTCAGCGCATTGATGTAGATTTCGTGAAAAATGAGGGCAAAACGAATAACAGCGACAACGTCAACAGTCATCGCATTCGCGACAACTCGTCGTAAAATCGTCGTCTGCCTCCGCTGCCGCGATCCTCATAGCAAACCAGCAAATACATTAGGCAGCTGGTACTACGAGTGGTACAGTTTGTTGAGGCTATAAAAATTTAGAATAATATCAGAAGAAGCAAGCTACGTCTACAGGTTTCTTTTGCTGCTTACAAACGCAGGCTTGCCAGAAACATAGTCTTCTCGAGTAGAGGGAGGCAGTATTTGAAAGCTCGCTATGTGATTGGTCCATAACTGTATAATATAAACATACGTACTTTGACGTCCATCAGAATAAAGATTCTCTAATAGGTTTCAAGTTGTATGTCCAGCACGGTAAGGTGTCAAGAACTATCCGTAAACAATACTACCTACCTAGTACAAGTAATACCTTGCAATGCTACAATGCGTGTAATTTGAACGGTAAATAAACGTGAAGCTGAACTGAGCTGGGTTGAACTCTACTAAACTGATTGGTATACTTTAATCCTTCATTTATTGTATCGTAGCTACGCAGAAGAGGGATTTTCTTTTGGCAGTTACCTCGGCCCATGTTCAACCTTTTCAATTAGGTGGGCTACAAGGGGCATACTCTATTCATTTGACAAAATTTCTCTTACTATACTTTTATTATGCTAATTACTAAAAACAACAGATTCTGACTGATTAGTATTTATGCCATCCACAAGTGCCAGCTGTTAGAAGTTTAGTGCTGATACAGTTATAATTACCGTTAGTTGCTTCTTGAGCGGAGACAACCCATTTTCCCGGCAAGAGGCCGGCGACAGCGTACGCATTACATAGTGGAGCCACTAGGTGATTGATGAAAGACTCTTGCAGTTTTGGCATTTGAGGTTTAGCACGGTCCATGAACGGTGAGATCGGCAGACCTAGACTTGCTTCTTCATCACCCTAACGAAAACACATGAGGTATAATACAGTATTGCAGGTTCGATAGTTAGCAGCGCGTAGATGGCATCTAGAAAACGTTAGCCAATTCTAGAGAGAAAAACGTGTTTACGTTTGTCTCTCAATTCGACCATGCCTGCCGTGTACTATGTTATTCAACCAACGACCCCTGGTTTTCTCAGTTAGCGGTTTCGTTATGCACCATTGGCATCGTAGTAGAACTACGCCTGGCTAATTTCTACGTTTACATCCAGGTACCTGAGTAAATAAAAGTCTGCAGCAAACTTTCGAAGGCCTCGCAAATCTTTTTTAAGTTCTATACCTTAGATCAAAGATACTAACCGGCTTAAACGTCGCTGTTTAAATTTGGAAGCGCATTTAACTTAACACAAGTTCATGTCTACCCTAATTATTTTTATTATTATGTCTTAAACACATATTTATGTTCTTGTCTTGATTATCTCTAATGCTATTTTTCTAGGCCATTTTAGGTCATCGAGATAGAGGCCGAATGGCCGGAGGTTATATGCACCACGTGTGTGAACCATGATAATTCATAGGCTATAATAATAAGGAAGGAATAACAAAAAGCCTGAGAGCTATATGGGAGATTTAAAAAGCCACTTGAAGGATTAAAACATAGTTGACCATATTAACAATAGCTTGTTTCTGTACAAGTGAAGTCTCTGTACCATTGTTGTAGTCACCGTCTAAGTAAATTCAACGTCGTGATAAGGATCTACTTAAATAAGTCCTATTCTGTACCTGTTCATAGAACTCTTCGCAGATGCGCTCCATCCACCGCATGTAGAGATCTCTTTTTTTGCAAGGTCCATTGATATCCGAAAGCTTGATAGCCATTTCCAAAACGAGTAATCGATCTGCTTCATCATTCCAGTTGATGCCGGCGCTCTCCTCAAGATTTGTCTAAAAACGCAAAGTAAAAAATGGCGCTGGTAGAATTTTTGCTATGAACTGATTTAGCTTCCTTATATATAAATAAGACTAGCTTAATTCAAAATCAATGATCGATTTCAATTCGTGTATTCACCTGAGGTCAATAAAATATGTGTTTTTATTTAATATATTTTAATTACGTTCTTAATCGTGATTTGTACGAAAATATCATTCATTATCGATTTTGCAGCTGAACTTTCCATTGTATCAAAACATTCTAAGTGACTCATGTAATTACTGCTAACTCTGCAAAGCTGTTCATAAAAAAAACAGGATGTTATTAAGCAAACGTTTTAAATTAGTTATCTGCAGGAATTTGTAGCAAATTCCCTAAGGAAAGTACTGACCTATTGGATGTCGGCTTGATAACAATCAACGTTAGTTCAGACTCTTAATGATCTATTGTAAACATAAATTACACATGGGATTCGATTTTTCTTAATATAATATGATATATTATTATTAATTATCCTCATTAACAGACATCTCTGCGTTCATGCTTGCGCTTCATCAAAAGGCAGATAGGTGTCTCAATAGTTTTAGTAGAATTTAGTAAGTAATACAACAGTCTTCGAGAGTCGGAAGGTAGACACGATGTAGAAAAGAATGAGACGAATAGCTGTTTTCTTTTTTAGTTTTTAAGCTGTATAATTGACGATTATGTACACTCAGAGATTATCTGAGAAATGGCATTTCTATATAGTTCTGCACATGGCGGAAGAAATCGCGCTATTATTTTATTTATAAAGCACAAATCTTAGCCTTTTTATTCATGACGGCGGTGCCTGAACTATCTTCCTTGACACACACGTACTGTGTCTTCTTTGACTTTTCTAGTCTGGGCCTTTATATGAGCATAAACACCGTCCGAAATATAACCTAGCTTTCCAAAGTAGAGTCAAACATAAAAAAAAAAAAAAAGTTTTTGTTCTATGGTTGTCTGACGAGCTTTTAGTTACATTCGCACCAGGACGGTCAAAGGGGTCACACATCCTGTTAGCGTACTACGTCGGCAGAATGAGCAATTATGGCTGAGTATTTCGGATCCATTCGTTGTTCTACCTTCAGTTATGCACTACACATGCAATATTCCCAACAGATGAACCGCTAGCAGCCATACTTCAACGTGGCAACACCGAAGAAAAATGAGTTTCGGACCTGTAACAAATAAAATCGAGCTGTATTTGTCCCCATCTTTGGTCCGTCCCTGCGTTCCGCAAGGTTTATTTGAGACAAATTTGAAGTTGTTTTGGCTACAATAAGGGCTTCAGGAGGCGACTCTTAGATGCTTCGCTATTTGTGATCGGCGATGGAGCCGCGAAGCTGCTAAATGAATCTGTCAACTTTGTGCAGTGAGCTTCCCGTTGTACTCCACAATTCTTCTTGGAAAATCGGCTGCTTTTGCATCTTTAGATATCTTTAGGTGTCTCAATAGGGTAAACTAGGCCTAATCGAGTACTTCGCAGGTGCTCCTGAGTCTTTCATGAGAAATATATTTTCACTATTGCTTATTATAGAGGAAGAAGCGTGACTCAATTAAACAACTGATTGGCTTTATTTTTACAAATGAAGTTATAATTAGTGAGCTTATTGGTCGATATAATAATGTAAGTTATCCCCTGACAAAACTGTATTTGTCTTTGCTGAAATGGCAACGTAGCACATGCGCTTAGAGTAACTTGTAAGGTTCAAGGGACGCGTATTTGGCTCTGAAATAATCGCTGGAATCCACACGAGGTATTATCTATTGCTGCCTTCATTCTCCGGAATTTTTCAGAGAAACGAATTCATTTGGCCTGTAAATAATTACTCGTTGTTATCAAACCGGCAAAAGCCTACGTCTGTTGTATCAAGTTTGGCCTCATATAGTACCTCATTGCCATCGACTCTCTGAATTACAGCCGCTTTTCTTAAACAAGCATCGTAGATAAACATAATTTCAATACAAAGCCAGTTACACTAATGACAAACACTAACTACAAAATTACCACAGTGATCTAATGATAATAATAATAACTGTTTTAAATAGAGCATACCTAGGTTAATAGAGACTATATACATATATATATATATAAAAGAAACATCTATAAGCTAGCACTCTTTATTACCTTAGCCGTGAATTCGGCCAGAACTTCGAAGTGCCTTTTGAGGTCGGTGGCTAGGATACATTCAATGACCACATAACGAAGCTTTTTAAATTCTGCCGTTTCAAGGTTCTTCAGGAAATTGAAGTCTGCCTTCGAAAGCAGCAGGTTCCATGCGGCGGCAGCATGATGATTCTCCAGCACAGACCTAATAGATAAGTCCAAGACGAGGATGAAGCAGGAAAACATTCATTGTTTACCGATATTATTGCGCTTTCATCACGTGTACTGATGCTAATACGTACGCATATGGCGCGTACGTATTATTCAAATGCCTTCAATAAAAAAAAAAAAAGGTGCATGGATAAAAAAGCATTTTTGACCCGGCTAATTTTATATATTCATAACTTATTTAAAACGTACAAAAGTTACTCAAATGAGACGAAAAAAACACCGTATCAGCCACTGTACTTACAACAATATTATAGAGTCTTTCTTAGTTTCTTTTTCTTCAGAAATTGTAATCTAAAGCGTGAACGGTATGTAAACCCTTTCAACTTTAACATAACGAAACTATCATTAGGCGAATGCTCATAAACGAATAACATGTGGGTGTGTTACTTAGGAACTGCTTTATCTACTTGAAACAGAGAACTTGTGGTTGGCTATTACAGCGCTCTCAGATCAAAACATTACTGTACAAATAGAACAAAGTGTTCATTTTCCCAATGTCTAATAACACTGAAATTAAATCCCCAGAATAGACCAAAGCTCTGACCAAAGATTCCCCCAAAATCAAACTATAGGAGAGATAGATACAGAAGGACAACTTCCGAAAATAGTTGTCATTTACTCTTGCGCGCCTTCAGCGTTAGTTATTGACAGAACTTTTTCGAGCATTACTAGAGGGGATAGAGCTAAACGATGCAATATTAACAATATTCTGCGTTCAATAGGAGAATCGTGTGCCTGGACTATTATTATACCTAATGATGTCGTTTAAGGCTGAAGCCCACAGTGCATTTTGGCCTAGATATATAAACCTATTGTCCTACTTGGAACACGAAAAGTATTCTGAGTCCGTCTTCAAAAAGATGCAGGTAATCAAAAGGCAATAGCACTTGTCCGCGAAGGATTCGCTTACCATCTAGTCGGATATGTAGATCAACCATTTTGCGGAACAAGGATCGCTTACACCTAATAGATGTTGAATGTTTAGCCCCATTTATTAGACATCTAGCACCACCTGCACATACATCTAGTCTGTATTAAATTTTCATACACTTTATTGTTAATTGAACAGCATAGGTACAATATTTTGTGTATACGGGCTACTTATTAAATTCACAATACCTCTTGCACGCCCATTCAAAAATCCCTGTCTCGTTCAGCAGGAACGTACCAGGTACAAACGAGATATCAAAAGATACGATCACCAGTTAGCTTTTATTTTACCCAGATATTTGCGCCAGTTATGCAAGGGTCATATACTGTGCTAAAAATTGGGCTCATTTATAAGCTTCATAGAGATTACGTGCAACTATAAGTACTAAGCATCAAGTATGAAATAGCAAATTTAGCTATCGAGATATACTATTTGAAAATACTGAAGATACACAGAATACTTCACTTACCTGTCATTATAGAGAATTGCCAAAGGTGCGTGGGTCGCAACAATAAAGGCATTGGTTCGTCCAGGATGTTCGAAATCGTGCATTGCGGCCGCTATGTATAAAGCCAATAGCTCGAGCGGTGGTAGATTCGAAGCGATGATGCCGTACGTCAATGCGTTTTCGTCTAAATACAAACCCAATGTAAGCATAGCGTGCATATATGTATAGTTATGTTACATAGTGTTATTTTACAGATACATGTTTGCCGTCTAGCAATTAATGTGAGCTTGTAATTGTTGTTTTTGTTTACTAATGAAATTTTCATGATGTAATTCACTGTGTGCCCTTCTTATTGGATTTGTAGGTAATAAATATATTACAGATTGATTGCATTTTTTTTTTGCGTTTGTGTTTCTTGGCGCTTTCGTAGAGCGAGTCGGAAGTAATTTTCCAATGAAACAAGCCATGCTTTGAATTAAGGTTTCGCTTTGTTTCATTACAGGAAGTCACATGGCCGCAATTTATTGGCGATTTTAGTAAATAGACCGTAATTTCTGACATGGAAATATTTATTCTATATTATTATTCTATATTATTATAGTTATATACGATGGCCAGTAAATTATCTCGGTTTGGGAGGCAGTAAATTTTTTGTTGTGAAAACGTACTCTGCCCATACATACCGATGTATACCTTTCTACGAGTCTGCCTTTTGACCGCTCGTTAGGTAAATCTTGCTTGATGTTCGCAGGAAAGCACGACGTCTATAGAGCTTTCGAGATGATGTTGAATAACCTTCATCCCTTCGTGTCGATAGGAGTAAACACTAATGTATTGTTTAACTATCACTGACTAATATATTTAGATCAATTTGTTGATCATGCTGAACTAGCTAAACGCGTCTCAACAGCTGTGATCGCAATGACCAATCATTGCTCCAAGAAGGCACAGTATCGTTGCTTGCAAAATAAACCCATGCACGTCTCTAGTGGCCCCCAGGGAATACCATTATAAAATAGGAGAACGGGAGAAACATTTACAATTTAGAACAAATGGAATAGGTGCGGTCTATTCAAAGATATAGTCTGATTACACAATGACGTAGGAGATGTATAATCCAACAGATGAACGATTTCGTAAAGGTCGCTGAAAAGATATCAACGCGCTTAATTGAAAAGTCACCTTTTTATCCGCACCTGTGGATATTTTTCAATCCAGTCTTTTGTCTAGCTGCATATCTAAACTAGGTATCAGTGAGTGTTTTACCCATCCTCACCATATTACCAAATCTCGCTGGAGGCGTGATGAAGTATATATATACTTTCATTGTTTTGACCAGTACAACACCCATAAAACAAAGCAAAGACAGAACGAAAGCCCGGCGTATTACCATCAAGCCACTTCAGCTCGTCTTATATTTTCTATATCGTATACACTCACTTAACACATTTCCCTTCTAGACAATCTAAATGCCGTAAATCGCTAAAAACGGATTTTTCATCGTGTTTTCTTTTATGATCACGTACTGTCGACACCTAAACGGACGCCAAATGCACAGTGACGTAAATTCGATTAGTTATTTTCGCACCTCAATTGGGCGTATAATATCAGCTTCTCTAGCGCGTGACGGAAAGTTTTCCAACGCTGAGGTATCTTCATTATATCAGAAATTCGAGTAAACTCGAACTTAAATGGGCAATGTCGGTGGACAATACTGTTTGGTGTCACTCACTGGGAAAGCGCGTGTACGGTCACCAGCACATTCGACCTTAAAGCCCTACTTTCAGTTTTCCAAGTTTCTCATTGCTTCCCTTTGACAAGATATGAAAGATCTGCTATTGAAAAGAAACGAGACTGTCCCGAACATTATGGCACCTGCTTGCGGAAAATTCAACTGGTTCAACTAAGCTCCAAGCAACGCTCGGACGCTAATGATCCTGCCTGCACCTGCAACGTGCCCTACAAACTACTTGTAGAAAATACATTGGACCTTGAGCCGACTGGGGCATCATTAATCGCTCCATTCGTGGACTCCCGCAAAATACAACGGGAACTTGCGTACGTAAAGTTGACTTGTACCTGACACTGCAGTAGCAGAAAAAACACGCCGATGGCCTCGGGCTGCCCTAAAAAAGCTACAATGAGTATTCTTCAGCAGAAACATGAGTATATAATTTTTTTCCAAGAACTACAAGGATCGTTAGTGTTACACATAAGAAGATGTAAAGAAAAGAAGCAAGAAGGACCTCCTCAATATATTTCAAATGAGTATGATAGTTGGTATGTCCTGCTCAAGCCAGTTTTTTCCTGATTAGCACGAGGGTTGACATTGCCAGCCAGGGAAATGTTAAACTTAATTTTGCCTGATCGATCCGATTGAATTATAGGGTTTAACAAATTACCGAGTTGATTTATGCTGCATATCAAGACGCCACATCGCTTAGTATAAGCCGCGAACGGTAGTTCAAGCAAATTTATGCAATAGATACAATAAGTACGTATTTAGCAAAAACGTAATCTGACTTGAGTATTGACATCGGTAAGCGCCATGCCTTAATTCAATTTATTCTCGTATATTGAAATTTTTTTCAATATTTAATTACTATCGAGTGAATTCGAAGGCTGTAACAGGTTCGAAAAAAACAGACCCCACAACCCACGACCAACTGAATAGAGTAGCAACCTCAAGTTTCTTAAGAATATTGTATATACATAGCACGCTCGGTCAAAGCGCTAAGTACTCAGCTCGCCACAGGTGGTCACCTTCTCAATTGCGAAAACTAATTGAATCATCGTCACAATGAGAAATCTGCTAGGTATTGAACGTTAGAATGATGAGCCCATTTTTACAGAATGATTCTAGTGAATAATTAATTCACTCAACTGTGACACAGTTAACAAAAATGATATACGACTTACTCTTTCATTACGTGACAGATTATACGCTGCAGGCGATAACCGTATAGAATCCATCGTCATACGATTTATTGGGTACTCTGAGGCGGTAATTGTACCCAGAAAGCGAGTCTTGTATTGTTTAAGAAGCTAAGCGTCTAGACAATACTGTGCACGTAACGAACGAATAGGCTTTCGAATAGCGAACATCTTCAACTGCACGGACCTACTGCGGGAGCAAGCGCTATGTTCTTGCCGGTCCCTGGTAGTCGAAAAGATTACAGTCTTCCTCCGTCGTTAACGAAATCTGTGTTAATTCTCAATAAAATAGCGGTAACAAAGTCAAAACAACGTCATCGACTTTCCAACACGAGTATCAATAGAGTTTGAATAAAAATCTATTGAACTGTCACAGTACGACAATCGCCGTTAACGCCGGGTCGTTCAAATAGCATATTTAAATTTTACCGATTCTGTTGCGGGAACTGCCCAGGCCCGAATTTTTATCGTAGCAAGTGAACATGGTCCTGGAGTCAATGTAGAAGCACGTATGAAGACTTCCTGCAAGTAGAGACCCTATTTTGTCGACTACGGCCTTCCGCTGATGATTAATTCATCATTATTTGGTAAAAGCTTGCGGGCTGACCGAATCGAAACATGTTGTTTTAGTTTTTTATTAGCCTGACTAGAGACAATGCCTTCATACTAGGATAATGTTTTTCTTGGGATGTAATGGGGTTCTGAAAGCCTCTTCGTATGTTACATTCATACATCTTGTAACAAAAAACGGTCTACTACCTAACTAAATTGCGAGTTTTAGCCGTAGTTACAGAAAATACCATAAATGAAATGTACGATAGGAACAAATGCGTCTCTGTGTGGGTTCACTGGCTGTTTTCCGTTGGCGGAGTAGAAACAAATTACATTTGAATTGTACAGGTCAAACCAAGCATCTTCATTGTAACTGATAGGTGGTATCCAGCTAAAAAAGCTTTCGCTTTAGGACGTCAACGTATGCTGCATTAGCTACAGGACTAGACATATAGTGGCAGAGATGATGTCTTTACTATGTGTCAATGATATGAAAGTTCTTCATTTATGTTTGCCCATTTATATAATCTTCAAAGGCTTACTTTATTGCTGCTCGGCTATAAAAAGATCCGTGTAGCAGCGTAGCTTGACATAGTTGATAATTTTGTCATAGCGTTATGCGTTCGCGGATCTGAGATCAAATCTTTGCTGTTATGGTATTTGTTTATGCTTTTGGTGTTACATAACTGGGATTGCTGATAGTTTCAGATGAATTACAGATCAATTAATGTCTATTAGGTGACATCAGATAGGTAGAGCTAAATGGGTGAAAGGAATTATCTCACTAAGATTAGTTAGAGGTCGGAACGACTGAGTTTGAATTTGTTATCAAAACACTTAATGATCTCTTAGCTTACCCTTTAGTTAGAAAAGAATTCTGCAAAATCTCGATAACCTTGTTTTATAGAAAACTGAAAGTGAAGTAATATCATAAATTGTTGAAACTAAAAAATTACTTCCTTTTAAAAACACGCCACGTATAGTAATTTCGCCCTTCGCTTACCATCGGGTTGCGTCCGCTGGTATTCCTGAGCGATGCACAGATCCGAAATGAGCGTCTGTTCAAGCCCAGCGACAGGCTGTGTCGTCAAATAAAACACAGCATGTAGAACATCGGCAGCGTGCATCTTATTATGATACGGAACCTCACGGTAGCCACATTCTAGCGCATGTAGGTAGCAAAGAAGTTCTTTCTCTGGAATGTGGAACGCTTCCACTAGACCCGTACCGAACAAGATTCTATAGCACATCTGTAATATCAGACCAACAATCCAGTTAGTTAGGACGTCTGATAATTTCATACGTATTGTGTATGGCGTTCTCTTTACTGGTTTCTTTTTTTTTTGTCAATATAAGAAATTCTCTATTAAAAGGCATTTGTAAAGCTTCAAAGACCAAGAACATAACATAAATGACAAGCTTTTGGGGATGCGTCAGTACTAACTTCTTCTGAAGTTACTGCCTTTAGTTTCACTGGGATCACTAACCAATCAGAAAAAGAGAAACCAGATTTGTAATTAATTAATAAAGGCAAAGCAGGCGGTCCACACAGAGCCACGTTAGCTGCGCTTAATAATGCATACATATATATATATATATATATATATATATATATATGGTTTAAACATAGGTAATTTAAAGTTTTTCAGCAAACGAAAAACAAGGTGTTTCATTAGAATTCTAGTAATAAGTTAATTTTTTTATAAATTCAACATCACTCTTTGACATTCTCACTTCTGTTAACCAATTTATTCATCTCGTCAGAATTTTTTAGCCCTGGTCTTGCAAAATTTCTCGAATCAGTTTTTGAGACCCTCTTTACTGCCGAGTGTACAGTTACTAATTTTATTCTCTCATGATCTGAAATAATAGTAATAATCTGTCGGGGCAGGGTCCGGAGAATATGGGGGTGCAAAAGGACCCCCCCGCTCAAACTGTAGCAAAGTGCTCACAGCAAAATCACAATCATATTTGCTATGTGCGGCTTGGGCGTTGCCGCAGTGAAACAGTGATAAATCTATGCAGGAACCTGGCATCGCGGCTGAATGTGGTTTGATATCGGACGAAATACTGGGAGGTGATGAGCTACTTCCAGCGAGATGTTTTTTTGTGATTTTCACATGTCTGTCAATAATTATATGACTGCAGTTCATTATTATTATTATTATTATTTTTAGTTGTCTGCCGGTTGACTTCCTTTAAAGGTGCATTTGAATTAGCTCGTCGACTTGAGACGGCTGACCGGGATGGCGCGGATTCTCCAGTTCTACAATCTCATTCGAATTTTACAAACTAATTTTGGGCGATCCTCTTAATAGTCATAGAGTCCTTGATGTACACGGCATATGTACCCCGTGCTGCTCTGATAGCCGTTTAACTTTGGTAGAAGGTATCAAATATGTATTTTTTCGCCTGGAGGCTATTTTTGGGACCTCGACTGGACCTAAAATTTCGTTTACTGCATAATAAACGTAAAACGGATTTGCAGAACAAGAACGTTCTTGAGAGGTATATAAAAGTAAAGAAGCCGTGCAAAGGTAAAAACCGAAAGTACCTACATGAAGGTGTTATGTAGATGTGCTTGATCGTCCTGTTGTATATCTCATTGCATGCGGTTATGACCACATACGTGCTTGAAGGCACGTGTAAGTGTCTGTCAGCACCAGTCTACGTTCACTAATGGTTTTGTACTCTCATTTGGTCCTTCAGACCGACTAAGAGACTCTATGCTTGCCCTAGAAATACATGGTTGTTGATTTAACAGTGCTACTAGCACCCGAGAGTATTTGAGTTAGTAATATTCTAACCAGCCAATAATACTAAATAGTGTTTACACTTCACGACGGCTTGGAAGTCAAGGCAGCGGAGTTGAGTTGCGGTGAATAGGCCCTATTTGTTGCTTAGTGAAGTACCTATTACATTCAAAAGATTTCTTGCACAGGTAACTGAGTCCTGTCGGTCGAGCTGTTGACAAGCCTAACAAACAAGGGTCGCGATCGAATCCTACTTTTACAAAATTGTCAACATAAGCGTGCTTCGGAACACTGCGAAACTTCCTCGAAATGTTTGCCCTATCCAAATGTTTATTATTGTTCCCCTGATCATTATCGTCGTAACTATTGCATAATTTTAATAGTAGCTTGCCGTCGAATAGTAAACCTGCTGTCCCTAGCGCATTGCGAGTAACATTTATGTACTAGAGTGATGACTTACTGCGGCCTTAAAACGGCCGCAAGTTGTGATATATATTTATATGTACCAAGAATATTATTTTCTCTACTAGGTACTACTTAGGTTCGATTTATGCCTGCATGTCCCATAGGTTTATTGAGTTGCGATATCAACGATGCAGACCTTAGGAATGGTTAAATTATCCTTTTATCAGTCAGTATTCCGCGGTCAATTCCGTCCCTCTTCAGGATATTTTGTTTATAGATAGATAACGCCGCGCATATTGGCAGTAGACGAATTTTAGGGTAAGATTACGTCCAGTGGAACGAAACGTGTTATACGATTTAGATTAAACTCACCGACGAAGCTGAATGTATATGAAAATTTAATCCGGTTTGCGGGCATAAATATCTGTAAAACATAGGCTGTCATAACGAGCTACAATTGCAGGACGATAGAAGATCGCTTACAATATGTTGTCACTTATTTTCTTTCGATTTTGATGGACATGTTGAAAATCGTGCCATCGCCGATATGGGGTACAGCGCAGGGGTGCCATCACATCGTGCAAGTGCAACAATTCAAGCTGCATCACATGTGTGAGTCTCTGTAAGAATTTTTATCGTACTTTATCTAAGTCCATGATTCCATCTGTTCTTTTCAGGTGAGGCCTTGTATCAATCACCTTAAATTATGGTACATTTACCAGGTAACAACATCATGATCTCATCACGGCACCGCTGCTCAGGTAATCTATCCTAGACAATATGTAGAGACACATCCACAGCGGATGGACCTCTACGAGAATCCAAGGAGATTATTTTTTATCCCCTTAGAACGAGGTTGACTTTTCTTTGAAATATGCATTCTGTGAGCGCCCTGGCGAACTTCTCAAGTACATTTGATTATTATTGCAGTTGGAATACACTTTTCGGCCACCAAATATAGCGCATAAAAAGCTAGGGATGCTTTTATATCATGCGTTCAGCGAAGGCCGGTAACTGACAGGAACTTTGTTTCGCAAAACACGTGGCTCCATTCGTGAAGGAGTGCCATGCCAGGAAGTCGCAGGCGAAATCCGCACAAGCATTATTCGTAATTTTATAAATAGAATTTGTTTTCAGCTTCGAAAAGTTTTTACAAAGTAGAAGGAAGGAAGGAAGGAAGGAAGGAAGAAAGTTCGTATGTGCAACGGCAGAGTTATGCTGCGTTTGGTGGATACTCTATTTTGCGAGCAAGCTTAGACTAATCGATGCAGAGCACAGAATATTCTGCTAAAAGCGATGTTTATGATCGACGAATTGTTTAAATGCAATTTCAGTGATTGATCACGGCACTCATTTAAAGTTAGTTTCCAGTGAAAACACGCTACATCCTGAAAATGTACGAAAATTTCTATGACATCGATCATAGTTGAGCTACGGTGGTGCAGATCTCCACGAAATTATTTGCTTGACAATGTTACATTGACTATTTGAGGTGTTTCAATGCCACGCAGATTTAATTGTTTTCACCGGAAGTATCTGTTATCTTACGATAATGTTCGGCGAGTGCAAAGATATATAGATTAACCGGCTGACTTGAAGTCTAGAAGAAAAAACTTAAAAATAATCATTGCAGGTAGGGTTTTAGAGGTCTGAAAGGTGCCAGGCCTCGCTAGAGACATCAGGTTATATTTTATTTAGTTAATTTCCAATGCACGTTTTACTCAATCACTTAAATGGACGCAATTAGTTTTATCTAAGTAAGGAGGAAATGCGGGTCAGGAAATACTTTTTTTTTTAACCTTAGCTTTAATATTGGACGTTTACTGAAAAGACTCATGCCGATTCAATCAACCATCGTATTCGAGCTCCAATTTCGTTGAGCGTAACCTAGTAGATATACTACTCTTAGATGAACAAATGATTACATCTTCCATATCACGCACGAGTACTCAAAACAATGCAAAGAACATTATCACTGATCACATGCTTTCTTCTATGAAAATTGCCTTTTTGTATGAAGATGTTGTATTTATATGCAGATATTCGTGCAATTAGAAGGATCTTCATCACATAATGTGACTCTGGCACAGGGTCATGTGCAAATCGAGGCTCGTCTAGTTGGCTAGAGGGGGGTATGCATGCACACGACATAACGGTGTGGCAGGCCATCGTGAGCTGAAAAGAACGAGATATTGTTCGCTATATAACGACGATCGGTTGAATGTTTACGCGGTGCCGTTCTGATGACGCGGGTGACAGCAGCGAAGACAATGGTCGAGGTGGCAGCGCTAAGCTTGCCAAACTAGAGACATCTACTCGCGGTGATAACAAACGCTCGAGACTGGCCAGAGATCGTTACGGGCTATGATTGGTAGTAACCAGCAGACTATCCGAAGATGGCCGCTTGAGAAGCCATTCGAGCTGTTACTATGCTATGATCCAGCGAGCGCCACCCAGAGAACTAGCTGACTAAACGAGAGTTGTGCACATGCAGGAATTTCATTTCGAAGATTGATTCCAGTTGCTGACCGAGGTATTTTTGCGGTGTTTGCCTATTTTCAAAGCGCCGGCTTCAGTAGAAATATTCGCTGAGATAATTGTCGACCTACGGTACGCCTACGATCTTCGTCCCTACCATCTATTATGTTTTAATAAAGAAGAAAATGGATGACTGTATCATTTTGTGTGAGACAACGCTGAAAGTTCAAGGTTTCCGTTTAGCACAGTTAGCGATATGACAAACACTGTTGCTCTATTTGAACTTTGACGATATGTACATGTGCTTTGACCTTTGCCTGACGCAAGCCCTGACTTTGTGCGAAATTGACCAACTATATTGCTTTGAGCTTGCAGCTCATCGGAAACATCTGACGCCCCTAGAAAAACATTACAGCTTGGTGACAGAAACCATTCTAGCGGTACTTACGGTACTTAGAAGTGTTTGAGGTGAGCGGTCGGTAAGCTGAAATATATTGAAGTCCCAGTCGCAGAGTGTTCCTAAATGAGCATCCTTAACTATCTCTAATGTGTCAAACTGGATTCCGTTCACTTCATAAATGCCTGGTGAAAGAACTTTTGCGTCAAACGAACGTGTATCCTTTTCCTCTGATACCACGGGGTCGCTCGTTTTTCGCGTGTTGCTGTTCCGCCGACCACAATATCTGTCAGTGAGGAGATAAGCCGTATTAAATATACATATGAAGAGCTGTATTATAGTCTAACCTGCACTAAGTATTCCATCTCAAACTAACAATGAGCATACTTTATTTTTGAACTACTTAAGCCCATATAAAAGTAATGTACTAGCGCAGAACCTGCTAAAAGCATGCATTTACAATAACATTATAGAATAGCAAACATATAGCGTCTTAATGAGGCAGTTAACAAAACGAGCGCGCCGTCTTCGTTTAGAGCTTGCTAGCACCGCCTCCGTGCTGCTACTACTACTACTACTACTGCTGCTGCTGCGGTAGTACTAGTAGCCAAGGGCAAAATCAGTGGATATAATGAATGAAATGCGGATTAAACCAGACCTTTATGACGTGCTCTTAGAGCAAGCAGCTTAAACGAGACGAACAGGAGAAGGAGAGGGTAGAAGCCCCCCGGAAAGACCAGGTATGCGGCGGGAAACAACTAGGTTCGTTTGAATTAGAGACGAGAGAAGATTCCACGTATTACCAAGCACCACTACTGCTAGCCCAGCACAAGGCAGGCCACGCAGGATAGACAGAGAGGCCCTCGGCACTGATGTGCTCTGCTATCCTCGTCTTTGCCTTGCTAGCCCCCGCTGTTTAAGCAGCGGCGAGTGGTGTTGGCGGGAGACTAATCCTGCTGTATAATTGTCACTCGCATTGTGCCAGAATCAGCTTCTTTCCGTACTTAATACCAATCCAAATCTCTATATCGTGTGTACCACTGACGAATCGTGCGTTACAGCCTGTGTACGTGTGTCTGTAAGTGCCTTATGATGATAATTAGTTCGTTCAGCTATCGTAAAAGGAAAAAGCAAGGACATTGTCGCATGGGCAGTAGGTGAATAGGTCATCCCACTTATCTCCCAAATCAAACGCCTTCTTCCGCAACCTTGCCTGTTGCTTGCTTACTTGCAGATAAAATCCATATGTACGGGTTGAGTGGCATCCGAACTCTCCGACATCAGCCGCTCATTTGCATGAAGCACATCATCGGGTAAAGACATCGCCGAAAGGGATTCTTCGCCACGTCTGAAACGAAAACAGATGAAAAAATAAAATAAAATGCCAATGGGAAGAACGCCAACAGGGGAATAACAGCACGGATATCGATTGTGCGGACGGCAACGAAGCCAGCGAGTGACATAAGGTCTTCAAGCAGGGACATAATGTCAGCTTACAGATTTTCGAACTGGTCGTTTATCAAGCTAGTGATTTATTATTTATGGGCTAAATGTTAATAATGGTCATAGAAAGAGCGCACCCTTGGCGCTATATTGCAACCTGCATTCGAGGTACATCCGTAATTTGCTGATTCGGTTCCATCTAAGAACTTAGACATCCTAAGAGTGAGCAGGAATTACCAGGAGGATTACCACTGTTTCAACGGCATCTTTATTGAGTGGAAGAGCTTGAACGATCGAAGCTAAATAAAGCTTTATATCAGTTTGCTTCTTAAAGCAATATTTTGACTCTTGATTGTCTTATCATGGTTAGATTTCCCTCTGGCGTACTACTTGCGTTCATTAAAAGAAACTACTAGCCATACGTACATTTCAAATGAGTCCGCAATAACTTATCGATAGTTCTCATATGCAAAATCAACTTCATCAGGGATTTACCGTGTGCCTGTCGAACGTTTTCTGGAGGGCTCGGGCTCGAGAGTCGGCATCCCGGTAGCCGAAGTCGTCGTCGACCAGGTCGACGTCGACATTCGTCGCAAGAGTGACCGCGGAAGCTGACGTCGTGTCTGGAGAAGACGTATAACAATAGCGCCATTATATTAATTGACACCGTATTGATTGGTACCGTAATGAATAGAAAAACAGGCGTCCTTAGATCATTAATATTGATCAAGTTGCTATTGACTTTTAGTATATGATACATAGAGTAACACTTATTAGAATCAATTTTTCCACCCATGGAGTAGTAGCATCAGGCGAAATCTTTCTGCTTAACCTACTGCTTCTTTGGCGTAAATCTCAGCTTTTTTTTTTTCTAGCTGAGTCCCTTAAAATGAAGATCTCATGCTGATGGTGTTGTACGTGATTCTTTTTGGCATTATTTTATGTTGCGTCCCATGATGTCTATGACAACAGTGAAGACCAACGCTGAAAATTATAGGGCTGTATCGGTTATTTTGTTCTATGGCTTGCATCATGTTTCAAAAGAAAATTGCTCACACTTTATATTTCTAAAGAATAATGATCTACTTTACTTGTTCTAGCCCAACGCTGTTTTGTAACATTGCATTGTTACATTTGTATACAATCCTTAGAGATATATCGGGATTGAGAATTCGCTCAGAAATGCACTTTTTGTAGAATAGACCATCGTTGATTGCTAGAAAAGACAACGTACCTACAAACTTGCGAGGTGACGCTTAGGTGATATCGTTCTCGTTTCGTGAGTCGACAACGACGTCTGACGTTTTTTAGGAGAAAAAAAAACTACGTTTTTTCGTATGCCATATTTGTATCGTATAAATACCGATCCATGTCAGGGGATGTGGATATCTAAGAGCAGTAAAACGTTCGTGCACTTAAATCTAGTCTGAAGAGCAATTCTCAGTGATTTGACATTGGATCAAATTATTTGCCAAAAAAAGGCCAAGGCGATAGCTCGAACTGAAGCTATAGACCATTGCACGAAACAGGGACAAAAATGTGTACTCATAGCACTTCGCGTATAGCGGGCTGGTACTGTTGTGTTAACTGCAACCCCACCATTGCTACTTGACCCTTTTACATAGTAAAGCTGTTCTGATTGAATCCTGTTATAGCATAGGGATGAAATGCATTTACCGGGGCAATCGGTGCCATAGTCAAATATATTCCTAATTATGAGGAGAACCTTGCTCCACAAGAGGCTATGAAAAATAATAGACATCCAAAGCTTGAGTACATAGCCCATTGGCGAAACGTGCATTTATCGTGCTGAAACTTCCTTCCTGCTGTCATTTCGACGTTCCTTTTCCCATTAATGTACTCTATATACGAAGGAACGTTATTCGATTGCTGGTTATACCACAGAACGCCAATGCATATGCATAATAGCTTACTACGTGACTAAAGAGTAACGTAATGGAGGTACGGATCGATCGTTAGTCGATGAAGAAAAGCTCCGGACACGGTCCCAGTCGACGAGCGGATGCGATTTCCATGTCACCGTATCCCCGATGCGCTAAACTGTGATCTACATGACATCGAAGTAGATCCGTGTCAACACTATGCCCAACTATAGAGTAAAATGAAAACCCACCGCGGGTTGAACGCGCGAAGTTAATTGGTGTTCTTCACAAAGTGCGGTATGCGTCGTCACGATTTCGCCGGGCGGCATCATTTCAGCGGTATTTATTTTACGTACTCTTTATATTATCATTGATCTTGATGCAGTAAATGAAGAAGATTCGACCGTTCGATACGTATCTTTATAACAAAATAGGACTGGAAAAGCAAAATAAGCTAAATTTAGACTCTACCCTTTTTGGTCGGCTCTCGCTCCGCAGATCGCGCCCTTCATCGTACTTGCTTTACAAAACTAAAGTCACCAAAAACGCTATAGCAACGCAAGACCAACACAAAGACGTAGCTAAATGTTGTCAAGCTTTATGTTTCTTCTGTTGTGATGATATTAGTATGCAGGAACCGTAATAGTTATTATGGCTTTAGTCATCCAAAGCGTTAGCAAAACCCTATGCGAGAAACCACTAGTTTGACTCACATATGATTTTAGGTGCAGTTCAATTTTGCAAATCAATCATCAGTCGTCCGCACATCTGTCAGCCATCTGTTTGTAGCCTACAATAGGTTACGCTATACGATGACGAGATACTTGTGACGACTTGACAAGCCAAGAAATGTCAATGACTATAGGCTTTACCCACCGCTCTGTCCCCCTGTTTCTCTTAGCGTCGAAATTGTGGAACGCGACCGATTGCTACTCATTGACTGTAAGCAAAAAAGCACCGTGTAAAAGATAATCCAAAGATAACTCTTGGATGTGACAGTTTGACTAGTGAAAATCAACGTGGAAACAATATATTTATGTATTTAAAATTGTTGTTTCTATTCGACTAATGAGGAATTAGCAGCGCGGCCGAAGCTTCCCTTTTTTACGTCTGTAACGAACCGTTGTATGCACCTACTATAAATTGTGTCCTTTTGGATTAGCCGAGAACGTGATCTATAAGCACTATGTGCTTGCTGTTTGACCTGAAGTGTTGCTGGGATAATAAACGTCAAGCTAATCATGTTAATGCGGTGTTGTTGCCACAAAAGCCCCTCCGGCACCTCTAGGACTCAAATGATAAGGCCACCGTTAATGCATCCTCGAATGTAGGCTTCGGAACCTTAATAACGATAGAAGCCGCATTCTATGAGAAGAGAACGTAGGCCAGCTTCCTTTTGTTCTTTCTCAAGGGAGCTATGTATACGAGCATAAGAATTGGCGAGGAATACTCTGTACGTGCATGTTTATGCGAAGATAATTGCACGTTGAAGATACATATCGCCAGTCTTCTAGATGACTTTCTGACGACGGATGATCATCACGACAGCAATGCCGGCGACGATCTCGTTGCTCAAAAAAGTAGCTTGCAGCATTACCAGGCTATGACAATCCCGCAGAATTTCGATGAAAACGGAGGTTTACCTCTTCGTATGTAAATTTTACCTTGACGAGCATAACAACGATGAAAGCTGGTTGCGAGATTTCTACCGTAGGCAAGTGGTGTGCGTATCGATTGCCAGTAGTCATCAGCCGTTGCTTGTCTGTATTGGGCCCTATGCTATTTTTTAACCAGTCCACGCTTCGACTAATATTAGCCTCGCCGTTCCAACGCCCTGTGTTTACTACGAGCGCCACCAGAGGGAAGCCCCCTACTGACGTTTTTGTCCCCTCCATTTTTTCCTTTCTCCCTGTACCTTCACACTCATACGACTATCTTGCAAAACAATTCATGATTCGGGTGCAAAACCCTCGTCATCAGAATCACGCCTACGGCTGGTTACTATTGCAGACATCGCCAGAAGCAGTCCCTGCCACCGACGGCAACCGCCGCTCGTTACAGAAACAACACGCATTTTTCCCTCTGCTTTTTGATGTTTCGTCGCCTCGTGGTTCACGGCCACCGGAAGCTATTTTCTTATCGTCTTTTCTATGCTTCAGTTGAAGGTGCAGAATAGGCCAAAGAATAGTACCATGGACTACACTAACAAAGGAAGAGTAGACGAACTAGGCAAAGGTAACAGGGAAAAGGGCAGGCAGAGGAAGAAATGATTCTAAATGAAATAAGCGAGCGATTACATCTCTATTGCGCACTCCAGTTCCTTTACAAAAGCTAAAATATAGTAAGTTGGACGGCTCAGTCCGCGCCTATGGCCCGATAACAAAGCAAGGGAAGTCGTTGCGAGATCTCACTCACAAATCTCAATGAATTGAGAATTCGTCATTAACTAGTTTGTTTTGAGTGTTGCTATTACATTGACAGATCTCTCGAATGTAAACGTGCTAGCCAGAAGACTCTGATGCGTCGAGAGAAAAAAGGCTAGAAATACTACAGAAGCTGTTAAATATGTATGGCGCAGTATCTGACAGGTTGGCTTGAAAAAGTAAAAGAGGTTGGAGTGAAAAATTACCTTGGCGCACGCTGACTCGTTCTCAACTTTCCTCAGAGTAAATGCAAGTATTTCCGCATAAAAATCCACCTAAACCTTTCGTTCATTTAACTAAAATCAGAGATATCAACGTCGTCCTATGAGCGTAACCTGCCCTGTAACAACACAAAAATGTGATCATTTCAATAGCCTATTATACCAACGAATAGAATAAAGTACAGTTTCGATCGAGGCGCGCTTCCTGAATAGCCAGCATCACGCTTATTACATCGTTAACTCTGTTAGTTTATATTGTTTAATCTTATCAGATTTTATCTAGCTAATTTACGAAAAAAAAATCACATAGACGCAAGGACGCAGTCACAGTCACACGAACATCCGCGCTCACAAAATGCTAATGAAAATAAAAAACGAAGTCACCATTTTTCGATTCTTGTTAATACTAAGCGTACTTTGTTGTGAAGGCCAGCGTAGCGGGCAGTGGATGAGCTGCTTATGATCCTCTTTGCACTTTTATCTTGATAATCGGTGCTTGAAGGCCATATTGTATAATGTTGGTGCCCGAGGCAGAAGACAGCGGGGGGGGGGGGGGACTGAGTTGTTGGAATTGGAACTTCCTGTCCTTCGTCGGCGTTCAAGTAGTCCTATAGTAAGCAGAACGGAACAAGAGATTGAAAATTCATCCAGGTGATTCTATTTCCGCTGTTTGCTTTTGTCTTGATTTTGTTCAGTTGGCTTCTCATTACGGATTAGAGTAGCCGCTCGTAACAGCAGTAGTAACACCTTGAGAGGCAAACAAACCGAGCTTAGGTGTCGGTCCGTCAACTGAAGAGGTCATTCTAGCTTTTGATTTGTGTCTGTTAAGCAAGTGAAAACCACGGTGTGGCTAGTAGCCCACCTTCAGTGTCTCCGTTGCTCTCTCTCTGCGTATGTGTGTGTGTTTCTCTCATTCGTAGAATGTCCTCCATCTGAGGCTGACTGATTCCCTGCTTCTATCATCCGTTTTCTGCTGTCCCGTCGAGCAGATAATTCAAACAAAAAGCGAGAAATTTAGGAGAACCGTGTCGGGACATCATGACACTCCCGTGGCTTGCCCAGGTTTGAAAAAGGAAAACATTCCTAGGAACATGGTAGACGGAGAATGGTTCCTTTTGGGGTTTACAGCTGTACTAAATATAAACGAGGTGTACTGTCTTTTTGCTTCATTTTCACACCCTTGGCTAGCGGCAAGCGGGGAAACGTCAAAAATATGGATGGAAGAGGCGTATGCACAGATGGCGATTACCTTACGTCTAGAGTAAGAATTTATATACATATAGAATATTGGGGGTATATTTGCAAATACCGTCGTCATCAACTTCTTGTCAGTTATGCCTCACGCGTGAAACAAATAATAGTAATTTGTAATGCCTGAAACGTGTTGTCAACCGCCCTTAGGCATAATCTAAGTTTACCTAGAAGCATACAGACGGAAATAATAACCTTAACACATTCCGGCCCAACTGACTACGTCGTACCTAAGACACAAAGCCCACCAGCAACGTAAACAGCATTGCCCGGACTAGTCCGCATGCTATAAGCAAGAAGAATACAGTGGTTCGCTTTCACTGCTCTAGGCTTTCATAGGTGTTAGATGATACTTTGGTCTCTATGTATCTATTGAGACACATCGTATCCTGTACATTCTGGATAGGTAACGTCGCTGACGCATAGTTGCTAGAGCACGTTTCGAGCATCTATTGCCGATAACTTTACTGAACAACAAACGTATTTCCAACGGTGTAGGAAGAGGTTAATCATCCAATCATAGCTGAGTTCAATTAGAATGCTATATTAGTGCCGGTTTATATTTACTGAGTCGCTGTTCTATAAAATTCAAGCTAAGTTACACGAAAATTTGGGTCTTTCATATCTATTCAATACTCATAGCCAAGCTATGAGAATTTATAAACGGTACCTAGAAGCATTCATCGCTAGTACGGATTTGTTTGCCATAAAACGAAAGATCTGTGATACGAAATAATACATTCAATCTTACGTGTTTCTCACGTCGAGTGCAATACTCATATTGCCGCAACAACGACCAAAAGTGACCTACCCGGGGTAGGTTGAAAACTCGACCCGAATCGGGCAGGACTGCTGTAGCAGGAGCATTTGTAATAAGGAAATGCTAGTCATGTATCATACTAATGCCATCAGCTGGGCCCAACTTTCGGAAAAGCGGAATGAGATCTGATCTGGAAGGCCAATACGAGCAACAGAGAGAACACCCGTTTTTTTCTTGGGCTATCATTCAGGTATCAAATCGTCGTCATTTTTCACCCGTCACGATGGCCCTGAGTATCTTGGAGAAAGCTGCATTGGGCAAAGCCCTGTGATGACCCATATTGAAAAGAGATTTCCCATTGAATTCTGAGGAGTGATATACTAGGCGCAAAAGGTGCCACCCGGGGCTTTTTATGAACTATTTTTCCTAACCGCTTTTCTCATTCACGACCGTTCCGTGAACTCGATCCCTGTTTGGCGACATAGCTGCCTATATTTAATTGAATAATGTGTTCTGTAGAAAAAAAAAGTTCCTTTACATATTGTGATTAGATGTATCTGCCTACTGACTATAGCAAAACGACTCTTTTGTGAAATTTTGGCGCACATGGTTAGCCGATAAAGGGCAATGAATGACAACCCGGTAACTGGCTAGTGTAGCGGTCAACTCAACTGACATAGCACTACGCACTCTTGTCCTCTTTATCGTAAAATAGATCTCATTAAATAAGTATATCTTTAATGAGAATTCTTCAGTACTTCAATTTCGTTGAAAATACGTTTATTCAATGAGCATACGCTACCTCAGAGGTGAGATTAAGTACGCCAAACTACTGTTTTTTTTTTTGCAGTAGTTTGGCGTCTTCGAAACTTTCGTTAGTTAGTACTGATTGATTGGTTCATATTCTTTTCGAAACCAATGGCACCTATTAAATGATGGACAAATTGTAAAAGTATTCCGAAAAAACAATTTAATACTAGATTTTTTTACAATTTAATAGTATTTTTTTTTTTTTTTTTTTTTTTGGGGGGGGGGGTAAGATTAATTCGACGTATACAATTATGGTTGGATACGCATTAAACAGAAAAGTAGAGCTGATTATCGGATTTTTGCAGAACCCTACTCAGCGGTTTATACTATTAATGTGAATAAAATGTTCCCGGTCGAACTGACAGGTAGCGTTGGCAATGGATCAGCTGATCGTACCTAGTTAACGATTGTTTTTACCGTTAGGCGTCTGTCTTCCTGTCTTTATTGAGCTGTTCGTTAGTCGGTGGCTTTAGTGACGGAACTCGAAAAGATGCATACTCCACATTATGTTCAAAAAGTGTTGCCGAGACAGGAACTGTTTACAGAGTTGGAAATGGATGTGCCGTAAAGGATACCTCGTTGCAATTTTGTCTCAGAAGCAGAAATTTCAACCTGACCAAACGGCGCCAAGAAGCGAGCAACGACAAATTGCAAGCACTCGTTAAGCACGGTACAGCGTCGTGCAACCGATCGCTTTTTTGACAGCCATTGTCAGTCGTTTGTATGTACTAGGAAAGGAGGTAAGTAAGTGAGGCACATGAACGCAGTCAAAATGACAAAAAAAAAAAACGCTTAACCACACGTATTTGGTCGCTTGCAGAACAGAAAAGAATGCCATTTCTATACGAGATCATTACCGACGATAAAACATTAACTAGAATGGCTAGACCTTTCCAATTCGACACCGCAAAGAAATATTCATGATTAAAAACTGCGCTTTTGTATATGATAAGATGACAACGAAGAGAGAATATACTATTCAAATCTCAAGAAAGAGATACAGGAGATAGGTTACACAAAAGGTCGAATCTGTCGTAACCATGAAGTGGAACGAGAAGGGTCTTAAACTGGCAAAGACTGACGCAGAGCGAAAGTGCTGCATGGGAACGCTATATCGCATATTCCTTTGATAACCCGGCGAACCCTAACGGATCCCCAACGAAAAATCCTGTTGCACCCGGCGCACATCCCAGTCATGGCTCTATTAAATTATCACCTTTTCTTTAGTTAATGCAGCATAGCCAAAAAAAGCAAACACAATTGATAAAGGAAGACGAATAGATCGTTTCTAAGAGCATCCTTTTTACCTTGTTGGATACATCAACTGTCAGAGAGGTAGGCAAACGTGGAAAGCTTGGCCGAGTGTTCACTCGTTTCAAAGTTACAGTAAAATTAAAGCGGCTAGAAGACAACGAAAATCGCCTACCTCGATATCATACGATTGTGCTATGACAATAAGTCGCTAGGCATCCGACAACAGGTTTTACCGATACCAGCTTTGTAGAACCACGATATGTCTAAACCTTCTTATGGTTTTCAACAAATGTGTTTTTTTTTTCTGTGACATTACTAGAAGAGGCTCACGTCTCACGACCTACCGCCGATATGCAATACGTACAGCAAGCACGAATACTTCTGAGCAAAAAGTAAATGTGTATAAATAGCCAAATTGCCTACTACATACCTTGGACATGTCTGAAGGTTTTTCTCCGGTGAATGGTATTTCTCCGCAGTCATCGATGTCACCGGGTTCGCTGAGCGGCGCCAGTTCAACCTTTTGACCGACGACGGCCTTGACACCTAAGGGCTTGTTTTGTTGCGAGGGGCAGAGTAAGATTTGAAGCGCCTTTAGACCTGACGCTATATTTGGAGGAAGGCCGTGATCCATCAACATATCGGCGATAAGACCGTTAGCCTCTGCGAGGATCGTGTGGTCTAAAGACCCAACTCCCCCGCCCTGCAAAGTGGATCAAACAGAAAAAGCAAGACAAAAATAAAATAGATAAAGAAGAAAGGCAAAATCGATCGTTCTATATTAGTAACACGCAAATCATGAAAAAACAAAGAGAAACTACACGTTTTTGATGTATAGGTAAACAAAAAACAAGCAATCTATGACAGGTAAACCTATCTACTAAAACGAACAATTTAGTCACAGGGCTTAGATAGTGCTAACCTTGGGCCTAAAATAATTAAAGTTTGCCTGTGCAACTTATGTTGCTGTTCCTATGATATTGACAGCAACATCTGCCGCGTTGGCAATTCCCCTGTCCTAGCCTCCCAGATAATTTGTCTGTTTAGGATACAGTTGGTTTAGGCATGATAATTAAAGTTTCGAATGTTCTTCATAGTCAATATCATCACCCTTTTTCGTTCGAACAGAAGATCTCATGCTTCAGTTGTAGCAATAGTTTGATGCGTTCATTGGGCACCGCCTGCCCGACTGCCGTGCGCGCAACCCGATCCCCTATACATAATATACTTACGTAGTAGGACAGCCCGTCCACACGCAATTGCAAAACTGCGTCCCAGTCAAGAATGTTCTGGAAAATCGCGGGACTGTTAAAACCTTCGTCCTAGGACGTCCTACTTCTCTGCACAATCCTTTGTTGGTTAAGGTGACTTTAAAAATCAATAGATGAGAAATGTGGAAATCAATATATACCGCCTAACCACGATGGATGGGGGTACAAAAACCAAAATTATTGTGCTGTGTCATTTAAAGGCTTCTCTGTGATTACCGTGTATCAGCAGGTTAACGAAGTCGGACCACTACTGACAGAGGCAAACTTCAAGTGATCTGAGCGGGAACAACAACGAGCATAAGTGAAAGCAGAGTAACTCAGGTTTTGAACGTTCAGGTATTAATTACCATTGTCTGTAAGTTTATCTACCCACTTGCAGCTGCAAATTTGCAAGTTAATAGATACGTTTTTCAAAACTTCGTTGGATAAATTATGCGTTGACTTAATAGAGTCGAGACTTTTTTTTCTCAATCGTTCTAACTAGGAGGTAAATCTCGGAAATTGTACCTTTGTCAAGGGTACACCGTTGAGACGCAACCTCAAGACGGTCTAATCGTCGCATTGAAGGCGTAGTTTAGAACGTGCGCGCTAGGTGATCCCGGGCAAGCTTTCAAGGGCGTCGTATTCAAGCGGGGTTAAGCGGTAGTGCACCACCAATTGATCTGGCAGGTTTTAAAAGTGCCGGCGAGGTGTTCAGTTTACACATTTCCAAATAGATTGTCCTTCCGGTGCATCTGTTTTTGTTTAGGCTTTGAGACAATGTTCACACGAGTGATACGCTGTTCGCTATTGACTCGTATAACGGTTCCATCTGTACCTACATAATAACAGGAGCAGCAAGAGGCGGCACTGTTGATCGATCATCGGTTAGTTAGTTGATTCATCTCAATTTGCTGACTAATAATCAGGAGTTTCTTGGCCCAATCGTGAGAAAACGAGCGTTGCCATAGTACCGATTGCTTATTTTTACAAGTAAGCGATACAAAAGAAAGATGTTTTAAATCCCAAAGTCACACACAATTGTGTAATAATGTAGAAAAATAGCTGATTGCACAGTCGGCGCCTGTAGATTCTTCAGTATCGCTTTACAATGCTGAGCATCTTTAACGGCTTGCAGCGTTGGAACTACTGTGTTTCTTAGCCTATCAGCTGGTCGAAAGAAAAAAATAGAATATTAAGGTATGCTTTCTCTAGCGGTGAAAATATAGAAGAAAATAGACCGCACCCTGATAAAGTTGCTTCACCAGACTTTTTATCTGACTTTAATGTTCCTCGTTGATGCTATATAGTGCTCAACTTCTATCTATCTAATCAATGCTTGCTTACTTCGTTCATCTTTCTGGCTTCTTCCATTACTGCTATAGGATAAAGCCTTGTTTACACCTCTCACAAGAATATCATTAGCTGGCACGAGGCTAGGTTCTTAAAGCGATGACGTAATTCAGGTTGTCTTTGACAACCGGAGTTATTTGTCCCTAATGGACCTTTGGGTTATAAAGCATTAGAAGACAGGCTTAGTTTACTTTAGTTGGAGATGTGATTATACTGAATCTCTTACTGTCTAATAACGGTTTCGATCTTTATATATGAGCTTCAAATAGACCTCGATTGCTGTAGACTTCACTATTTCTCGAGCCATATCATACATATAGGTTATATATTATGCATATATATATATATATATATAGGTTCAGTGATAGACGTGAGTGAATAACGCTCGAATTTTGTCGTACAACACTTCGATACAATCCTGTATATTAAAGAAGATAAATTTATTTTTGAGAATTATCATAATTCTACCCTTATTTCAGTCGTCCAGTGTTGCTGGGGGCAGATAGATAGCTTTGTTAGCCAACGATGCGGTTGAACGCCATAATCGCTGGTTTAGGCTGAGTCACGATTAGTTATAATGAAGTATCGGAAACAGTTTTCATTGGACCGACGATAGCCGGTGGACGTACCGCGTAGCTTCGTCCCTTAGTGGGGGGCGCGAATACATACCAAGGGCATTACCACCGCATCATAATTACTAACCATGATCCATGCTTGTTACAGAGTTGATAGATATTTTGTATTCTATGAGATTCTAGTAGACGCTAATAGTGCAATGTCGTACGTACACGAACACTTCGATCGCCAGGGTTTCTAATTGGTCAGGGGTTTCTAGTCAGTAAAAAGGTTTATCTCTATCAAGATAATGGGCACTAGTGAAATTGACCCCTTTAAGGACTAAACATACATAGGTATTGTAAGGGAACAGAATTGCAAAATTGTTATAAGGAAGACATGGTAAATCTATGTGCTCTGCGCCTATTCACCTGTTTGTATATATATTTACACGATTCGAACGGTAAACTAAAAGCGGAAACGGATATACTCTTTACATAGCGAGGGCTACTGCCTAGCCTTCTCGAGCTATTTCTTTTTACTGATGGAGCACATGAATAGCATACTGTGTTATAACAGCTCTAAAGTCCCATACATATATACATTACTTATATAGCAAAACGAACGCGGACGCTACAAAGGGGTTGTTGAATTGAAAGTCAACTGACGGCTGGCGGTACAAATTATCGGTATAGCCAAAAAAAAAAAAAGTAGACGTTACGCCTATTCTCCGAAATGAACTGTATAAAAAACCTCGGTAAACTCTGCCACAGAGCCGTTCTCACCTTCGACAAACCGCAGCTGCGAAATGTACCTATTGGCAAGATACGAACAAATTTGGAGGCCTACAGCAGTCGCCACTGTGCCGCGTTACTACAGAACGGGCTCTTTCCTTTCCTGAACGGTCAAAACGGAGACTACAGTACAGAAGGATTACCACCTTCTTAGCATTTTCTATATCGGCGACAACGCATGCAAAAAGCACTACGTTAGCACCAGCAAGCGATTATTTGGGTCCCATGGCACGAATATGCTCGGAGCGTCGACGCAGGCCGTATTGCAATCGAACCCAAACGCGGGCGAAACGAATGCAACAGAGAACTATGTAGAGTTATATATTTATTTCTATCTTAACGGGCAACGATCGGCATTGAAAGTTCCCTGCTTGGAGAATCACAAAACAGCTATGCATGTTATATTAGGAATGGACTGAAAGGATAAATCTGCATTGAATCAACGAGTAGACGTACTGTATAACGTCACCATGGTTCGCATGATTTAAGTCCTGCTGTCTTTTATGCTCTTTCGAATAATCGCTGGATTAGGCCACATCTGCGTTTCTCTCGGTCTAAGGGTGCAGTCCTAAACCTTCAGATCATTAGATTAGACCCAACATGCACCGTTGACCTCTTCCGTTCAGATTATTGTCGAGAACAGATGATTTCGCTCATAACGATTGTAGAGCTGTCGATGAGTGGAGGAGTCCATAAGAGAGGGCATTGCTCAAGTGACGATCCTGTTCGATAGCTAGATATTAGTTAATAATTAGTCGTAAAAAATCACATAGTGGCGCTTAAATCAAGACATTGTGCAAACAACTAAAAAAAAAAAAGATTTTATTTCGATATAGGCGCTAGCTGTTATCGTAATATGAAAGTGTTTCGGCTCCGCACGTAGTGGGAAGGCTGTCGCTATAATTTTCTTCTCCGCGTTGTGTTTTTCTATAAACAGCATAAGGTCTTTTTTTGGACATCAGCCGTAGTCGGTTCCCGATGTAGTTAGTGCCAAAAAGCTCAGAGACGCAACAATAATTTTGCACGATACGGCTTAAAACTCATAGTAGCCGATCTGCCCCTCTTTTCTGCCCCTAGAAACTCTCAGTAACATGGCTATCTCAGCGCCTAACTAAGATGCTTCTCTAGGCACTTACATCGTACTTAATGAACACAAGCAATCTGGTCTGTTTTTTTTTTCTCTAGTCCTTCCTCTAATTTGATTACGGTATTTATCAAGCGATTTTACGGTATGACAGGGGGGTCGTTTTATATACATCAAATTACAATCAAGATGCACTATTCTGGCGTAATGAATCTGCTGTGAAGCCCTAATCTAACTCACTCAGTCGGAAAAACTTCGACAAACGATTTAATGGGTGAAATGGTCTGTTGATAAATCGTATATTTATATTGTTGAAATAAAAATTGTTTTAGTGTACGCTAAATAATATTATGAATATATTTAATCGATCGAACTTCTGAAAAACTATTCCCGCTAAGTAAATCCCTCGGCAACCCATTTGCCCCTCTTGCGGGAGCCTTACAACAAGCACTTTTAATTCCCTATAATTTGATGTCGGTCGCATTTTTCCGTAAATTATAGGCACATGTGTATAGCTGCGGAAAGCCTAGGGTTTTGTCGTAGACTTATAGTTCCGACTTATAGCTCACGTAAGCGACTAGACAATCATATCTATTGCGATAAAATCGAACTTTACCTCATCGATCGAAGCGATACCGTATGACCCCCCAGTTGCTGCCAATTTGTTCATGGTCGCTATAGCGACCGTACCAAGCCACAGCCGAACCTTTGTCGAAAGCTATTTTTTCCAGTTCGTCTTAATGCTTACTATAAACTTAAATCGACACTCTATGCGTAACTATTTTAGCCAGGGTTTGGTTCGTCACCCATCTTGCAACGACGACATCGAGCTGCGGAAAAATGAGAAAATTGCCATGCAGCTATGTTACAGAAAACAGCGGTTTTCCGTGAGGTCAAGATGAGCTAGATCGAGATGAGGTAATGCATCCACTTATCTCTGAGGTTTTTCTATAAATTCAATGTTTGTGTCCTGCTCTGCAGTTGCCACTAATATTCAATACGAACTTGGGTAACGTATAACGTTAGAGCGATATATAAGATATCCTATTGTATTCAAATGTTGTTAATTGATAATATTGTAAATGTGCCCCGTGTGAAATAAACTAATAATAAATCCGATAAGGAATGCTATTTAAAAATGGCCGTATGATCGGTTCGAAATGATTGACTCAGTCAACGATTTGCTCCAGATACGAACTGTAATTGATGGGGTACTGAAGAAAAGCATTTCAGATAGAGATAAAAGCGTTTCAATAGAAAAGGAACTGGCGATCAGTGGGAAAAAGTGTGACAACGTAATTTACTCACAGGATGGCAGGCTCGATTTTAAAGGGGTATCGTTTTCGTGAAAACACGCGATAAACTTTTATTATTTATACTCTTTTTTTCTAGCGTTTGCATTTTCCAATATTTCGAATAGATGCAATTACCCTATGTGATCAAATAGGCTACAGTAGATTTAAAACGTACGACCATTACAATAGCACTTTGAGCAAAGTTAACTTCGAAAATACAAAATCATTTGGCAAAGGGTGTTCGTCTTATCTTCAAATGTTTACCCAATCAGCTTTCATTGAATTAAAACAAAGAAAGAAGTACAATCTCACCCCTAATTAGGAGTACGTCAGAGATCAAAGCTTTATTACGCGCTAAATGAGATGAAGTTACAAGTTTCCTCATTCGAAAACTTAATTCTGTTTATCTATAGGGTGCGTTACACTTACCAGACGGTAAGCTTTGTATTTCACCGATGGAAAATCCTGCTGTCAAGAGCTGACTAGAAGATTTGATTCACTGCCAAGAGACCTCGCGAATGTTAGATACCCACGCCCGTTCTTATAACACGAGAAGCCAGAGAGCCTTGTACACGTAGAATAAAACAACCGGTGTAGTACGAGCTTCTATTTTTGTTTCAAATTTTTAATGCTTGCGGTGTTAATACTGAATGCGCACATATGAAGATTCTAGTATATCTTCAAAAACTTGCATTCATGCTAAGCTTCACTTGAGTTCAGGGAAATTATTCTCAGTTCTTTAGATGGTTTCGTCTTGAAGCTGACTGACGATCAAATCGCATATTGATAGGATGTGTTTTAAGTAATCCCAAATCGCTCGAAATCGTTCTACTACAACTGTAGATAATAATGATAATTATTACTTAGCTTCTTTTCTTAGTATGCAGGATAACACGCAGCAACAGAACCACACGAATCTAGCGATAATCTTGCAACGTTAAACGCCCGCAGCACCCCAACTGAAGGTAAAATTACGTTTCGGCTCTGTTTACCTTTGAACACGAGGGAGTAGCACGGAAGTGCGTGCACTTGGCCTGTTTGCCATACCGTTAGTACGTGTTCCTCCGGCGTTGTTGGTACCAGCTTCGTTATTCCCATTGTAACCCAATTATTAGAACTACCCTCCGAGAAACCTTGACGCGAATGGACAGATCCGAATCGGTAACATCTAATGCCGGCGTCAATAACAACGTACAAAGCGCGTTCACTTCCTACGGCTTACCAGGCGTTAAAAGACAATGGCCGCCCGTATACGACGAGTGCCTTCAGAGCTCGTAGTACCCAGTACAAAGATTTATTGCTAGAATGTTGCTTCCAGCAGTAAATTTTCATGCATTACAACAGTAGTGTTTAGCAGTCTGTTTGACCAGCCCCAAAGCGGGCTCGAGTTGAGCCGCGAAAAAAAAAAAAAAAAAAAGAGATGGGAACGTTCGTTCAGTTTCACGCATATAAACCTTTCACAATACCTTTAGATTTGACAGTCACTAGACATATTATAACATGTTTATTATATTTGCTAACTCCCTATTATGGTTACTCTAACATGATACTGATTGTACTTTAACTTATTAGCAATGAGAGCGTGAAACTTAGAGGTAAAGCAATGAGGAGTTAACAGAAATTTTCCGTGTTTTAACTTATTTTTGACCTAGGCTAGTTATCGTATGGCTCTCTAATCAGCCACTTAATCGATGCGTCGTAACCTATTATGGCTTTTTGCGAGTAGGTACAAAGAAAAGTTTCGAGCGCGATCCGTCCAGTGCCCTAAGTTATATTCGACGTTGCACATAATTCCATGTTACGTTGAAAATTCTAAAAATACATCGACATTGTAAAAGGTCTTTTGATGAAAAAGAGACTCCCACCTTTCATTGACAGTTTGTCCAATGTAAAGTTAATGCGAGTTTACTGCTGCACTAGTCCATGGTGTCTTCCACCAAACAAGTGCTGGCCACTTCCGTTACTCTTCAAGATACCCAGATAAGGATAGAATTGTCGAGCCTCGCATTGAAAAGCAACGTTTGCGTTTTCATTGTTATTTACTAGTCCTCTGTTCCTTAAAGTGCACCTAAAGAGAATCCCCATAACTGACAATTGTATGAAAATTCTATTATATCCGGGCGTACGAAATGTTTTGAAGAACGTGTTTCTGGCGAAATATATTGATTTGCGAATCGTCTTCGTGCTACTCATATGCATAATAAATTATGTTAGCACTGAATTAATTACTTACGATGATGAGAATGCAATTGTGGCCCTGTGATCTAGGACATCAGGTTCTACGTACGACCGACTGTCAGACCTAGTGGTGCTTAACTAGTCTACAACGGATCTCAAAATCAGTAACTCAATCTATCGCTAGTTGGTTCAACTACCTGCAGGACAAGCCAATTCAGGCGCGCAAATGTGCCTGTATAGGCTAGGTTCGTTCCATATAATATATGTAAATAACAGCTGAACAAAAGGAAGACTAAGAACATGTTGTTAATGTATGTACAGGGTGTGAGACAGGGCAGCACTACGAGAGACGGTATTAGGCGCATCGAACAATCGATATAAGAGTAGTGCAAGAACGCAGAATTCAACTCGGCCGATAGCAGTGACTGACTGAAAGTTCGCCCGTGTATTGGTTCGGTAACAAGCAGGAACACAAACAAGTGGTACGCCGACGCTTCTAGAAAGAGACGTCTTGCCTGGAAGGTTTGCCTTGAGAACGAAACGAGAAGCGTACGAATGCTGCTAAAGCCTTTGTTTTCCGGTGATGGCGCTAATGTTCGACTAGTGGTGTAGCCTTCAGAAGTCGGAAACTTACTTGGCATCGACAACTAAAAGTTACAACGCAGGTGAAGGATAAGTAACAGTGAAGGAACTGGTTATCTAACCTTTATAGGCTTAACTTCCACCGCCGCTGCTGCTACTTTTACTGCCGCGGCAACGTTTCTCCGATTCATCGAGTAAATATACTTTAATAAAATAACATGTTTTGTATTCGTTTGGGTTAATGCCTTGAACACGTAAGCGAACGAACGCATAGGCACTGCGCAAATAAACAATTGCTATTGTCTAATATATAGACTATATTATTCGGCTGTATAAAGGCAGATCTGTATTTTGATCCGTGTACGTGTTTTTGTTTATGTATTTAGGTAGTAGTTAAATAAACAGGTCGATGCAAGCTTTGTCAAAAGGCCATTCAATGATCCGTACATTGTCACACTGCCATCTAGGCAGACGTTAGAAAAAACTGCAATGTCTTGTTCGATCATAATTAAGTTTCTTACTTGATCATTCTATTTAAGCCAATGTCGAACGTTTCTCCTAACAACGCTAAAAGGCCACCCCGTTCAGAATGATCGCCGATGATTGACATCTTTGTTTTCTCGCATCAAAACGTATCGCTAAGGGCAATATTAGAAAAATCAATAAAAGCCAGACTCAAAGCCGCCCATCCATCATTATATGTAAAATTCACTCTACGTTCCCGTAGCGCAGATTACGCTGACTTCGACGCCCCCTTAGTGTATCTTTGTAGTTGATTAATTACGCCTTCGAGTACCGGTTCTAGTCGTGAGTGACTAGCCAATAATATGCGTCTTTTTACCACCACCATAGGTGCCACATAAAAGCTTCGTCTCAAATATAAAGTGTCTATTCAGAGAAACCTAATGTAGAGTGTTTTATTTTGTACCTGTAAAACGCTTCGTTTCCTATTTGTGAGGGACAAAACATCGTTGTGGAAATCGTCATTACTATGATAACGTAATTTGAAAATCGTTTAAGGCGAAAAAAAGGAAAATTCCACTGACGGTGCGTGTACGCACGTCGTCGATTAAGCTATATTTTGAAACGTGACAGCGGTGAGATTCGGGAATGTCCTTATTTCCATAAGTGAACTGGAGCAATCACCTATATCTACTTCAATCATCCCCGACCAAAGTTACCAGTTCCTCAATGTCGCTTGAATAGCGGACGGTCAAGTTTACCAGTAAACTGCACTTACCAGTAAGTGCAGTGCTCCATGTGGCACCAGACTGCCCGTACGAACTATTACACTGAATAGATACTGTAGAGATGTACAGAAGCACACGTCCCGCAGCTCAGAAGAACTACAATTTCTACTATAGTGGAAGGCGTTTCGGAACTAAAACAGCACACGGTATCGTTTCCAGTTAACATGGCCGCCGTATAGCGTAATTGAAATTATTTTAGATCCAGCTAACTGCAAGATCCAGCTAACAACTGCAACTACGTTGTATATACATATCGAAAAATATATAAATTATCACTATACTGTCATTTCAGATAGGCGGTTTCAGTACACCTTGTTTTTGCTCTATTTACCATTTTTGTTGACCGAAACGAATCAAACTAAAGATAAATTGTCGTTTAATTTGTTCTGAAATGAATTTCAAGTTAGGTTATGTTATTTGTGAAGGATATCGGATAGGTGCTCCCCGCATCGTAGCACGAGACGAAACCTATTTTTAACCCGTTCGTATTGTCAAAATGCCTGAACGACGCCTAAAGACCTAACGACATAGGTACCTAAAATATTTTGCATGAAATACACCGAATGTTGAGGGTGGCAAAAATAGAGGAATAAAAGATGGCGCTAAGGTCATCAGATCATTGGAGCATAGATTTAGGGTCCTATAAAACGCCGAGTGTCGTATTGCCAAGCAAGCACATATTGCTCGCCTTCTAAAAAGACTGAGCGTATCGTCGCCGTACGTTTCTGTGTGCGCTTATTCGCGACACGACAAACAACCTTATGTACTGCTGTATGTCGTACAGACATGCATTTCGTAGGCACTCACAAATGACGGGTTTCCATCGTATTTTAGGCCACTGCCAGGAAGAAGGGAATCGAGAAAGAAGCTTGAGGGACGATATACGAACGAATGAGAGGGTTTCTGAAGGCTGCTGCTGCTGCTGCAGCAGCAGCAGCAGCTCTCAGCGTCAATGATGGACTGAGGCCCTTTTCACATAAACACACACACGCGCCCATCTCGACAATTTTGAATGGTGGATTTGTAAAGCTTTCAGAATCGACGCGGGCGAAAAAGGGCCGTCGGCTGGGGCAAACTGCAGATAGGTTGGGACGTCGAGGAGGCGCCACTAAAGGGAACGCTGCCGTTTCCACGTCTGGGGGCTAAGAATTTAACGTAATAAAAATGCATTTAATAGGACCTAGCAAAGTACTTCTGTATAGCCCCAGCGACACTGTCCGGTGCTCAACGTGTGGTACAAACATCGAGCTATGGGACGTGCTTGTACCCAATCATCGTGTTCAGGCATCTGCTGCCATTTATGAATTGTAGGGTTCATAGGCGCAGCTCTCGATTCAAACTTGTCATAGAAAAACATTTCACCTCATAATGATTGGGGCCAGTTCTGTACACTTTATAATAATAGCTAGTATACTCTGTTCACAAAATCTATTGTCCAGGCTGCAGGAAATAACTCTACAACTATATATACCTACCGACATGGCTGGACCATCAGCCCCTTTAGTAAAGAATCGGTTTTCAGCTTCTGCTTGCTTGTCATTGCCATGCTCCTCTGTTTTTTCTCAGTACGTGAGAAGAATGGATGACATTCACAAAATGTTTTTCCGTCTCTGCAGTTATTAGTAATCACTCTTAGTTGCTCCAGTGGATGACGGATATGGCTCCAGCCGTATTTGGCAAGGCAAACTTTCTCCTTTAGAAATCGCATTTCAGCTGCTTATACGTGCAACGAATTGTTCTGTTCGTTGACCTAGACGTATTTGCGG